TTAACGACAATGAGACACAACGGAAATCTCGAAACAGAGTGACCCTAAACAAGATTCTCCCACAGCCCTAGAAATTTTTTGCCCAGAAATCAGACAAAAGGGTGTTTCTGTGGACAAAAGAGCCCACAGCAATTTAAAGAAGCTGAAAACATTTCCCACAGTGTAAATTGAGGCGGCTATTTGACTACTCCATGGAGTACCGCTTTTTAGGATCCATGGACTATTCCCATCACTGGTAGCTACAAAAGCTACAGGATATTTTCATCATTCAAAGGGCCTTTTTATTGCTCTTTTAGTTGAAAAAGTGAAGAGAACAATTATTTTATATTTGTAAACACTTCTATTAGATTTTGAAGAGCGTTCGCCAATGTAAAAAAGAAAAAAAATTTATTTTAGGCTTCAGAGGGCTCCAGCTCCGAATAAAACTTTAAAAAAAGAAGGAAAAAGTTGGATCTGGGGGCCCTTGCCATTTCGGGGCCCCAAGCTACAGCTTATTTAGCTTATACGTAAATCCGGCCCTGCATATATTAATATAAATCTAAGTAAAAATCATTCTATTTCTTTATTTATTGCATTCTAAATTACGTCACTTGTTTATTGCATTCTTAATTAAAAGTATAAATAGTTTTCAACCTATATTTTCTTGTGTTTCAGGACTACAAGCTTTGCTTTGTATGAAAGCCAATCCTGCAATTGAAGGGGAAAGCATTGGAGGACAATCATTTTTTGTTGATGGCTTTCATATTGCTAAATGGTTGAGAAAAGAACATCCTTCTTCTTTCCATGTCCTCACTTCTACTTTGGTTGAGTTTAAAATACACAGCCACAACGTAAGTCTAATCCAAAATAAATTTAGAAAAAATAATTTGTTTGTGAAGAGCTTGAAACAATACGATGAAGAGCCATATTGTTCAGGATGGTTGACCTGTTGGTTGATGGTTGAGTCTGTTTTTAATGGATGGTTGACCGTATAAAGTTAAGCGCAGATGGTGCTAGGGGTTAAAATTCGACTTTCGGGTTACTATTTCCGACTTATTTTTACGCCTAAGCTTGAAGAAACGCACCATCCAATACTGTTATACTTGTAGAGCTTGCAACATAACACTTTCTTTTAATCTAACTTTAAACGAGACAACAAATGAATTGGGAAGACTGTCACTGAAGTCAAGCATCACTGGCTGGGATCAGTAAGCGGGTGGGTGACCTTTTCGATCAAGCTGCGTAAGGACGGAGGATGCGCGGTTTCGGTCCTCGTTAAACTGTTCTACCGTAAAGTGCTCGACTTCGCGGACTGGTCGTCGGCTACCAAAGCGGAAGAGCCATCTCCTCTTCAGAGGATCAAAATTGTGATGGCATGTCTTCGGATCATCCTCAGGGATGTTTCCCAGACCGTCGCCGGTAGCCCATTGTGCAGCTCTAGTGCGACGTAGATAAAATACCTACTTAGCTACCTGCCTAGAATATTAATCTTGTTAACGAATCGCCTCGTAAGCATAACATAAGCGGAGAGATACATGAAAACTTTTCGAAATTCCTTCCGTTTTCAGGAAGCTTTTTATTGCTTACATTCAATCAACCATTCATAACGTAGGAAAAAACTGCGATTTTTACGCAGGCAATTAATTTTTATTGTGCTGCCATCTAGTAAAACTCTGGAAACTTGAAAAATACCTTTCTGGAAACAACCCTAGCGAACTGTTTCATACAAAAATGTCCAAGTTTGTAAAAATTAGGCTTGTCACTTTATTATCCCAAGCTCTTCATATATACATAAATATACATGGTTCGTATGCTCCTTAAAATTTATATAAGTTTTGTAATCAGCCAATTGAAAATCTTTTAGCTTTAATTTTCATTTCAGAATTAAAAATTTATTAATTTTAATTAATTATTAAATTAATTATTAAGCTTTAAAATTTAATTAATTAAATTAAAAATTAAAAATATTTGTTTCTAGAAAAAAAATACTTTTGTGTCTGTTTTAATAACTTTAAATATCGTCTGCACTAATTCTCATATCTAAAGTTAGGCTCTCGAACCATTAAGATTACATCTTAAAACGCTAGGAACTTGTAGGTCAAAAGTTATTAAAAGGTTCTTTTTTATTTCATGATTTCTAATTTTCGAGCATAAATAATACGTTCTGTAAATGCGTAAAAATAAAAAATATTGTCCATTAAAATTGATTTAATAAACCACAAGATTGAATAAAAAGAAAACGTCAAGAGAGCAAATCTCGTTCATGTAATAATTATTAGCGCCATAGAAAATGGATAAACAATAAAGAAATACATTACTGTTAGTACCATCGGGGAAATTTAGACACTGTTTTTGTATTTATTTCAATTTATGATTTGAATTTGAAATTTTTCCTGGTTTAAATTTATTTCAAATTTATTATTAGATGGAATACTGCAACAATCAATATGTTTTGCATGCCAACAAGAGTGGTGACATCCAAGAAGTTCACTACAATACAAGAACCATGTCTCCTCTGAAAGGACCTAAAGACACAGTTCAAGCTTTTTATGGAGCATATCAGTAAGTAGCTCATCAGCACAGTCATCGACAGCTCTGTACCGCTTAGTTCTGTCGCATGCGTTCCTTTCATTTAAAATGTATGCACATGCTCTTTTTCGCCTTGTATGCTGTGTCTTTTTAAGGTAAAACATTACCATCGAGTTAAAGATTAAATACCTTATCACTTTCTTTTATAAAAGAAATGTTGCAATATTGTAAAATGAGGCGTGTACTTTCGTGGACTGTATAAGCTGGACCGGAAAGTAATGTCCTTTCGGTGCCTTTCATATTTGTTATTAAGATTTTATTTCTTATTAATAGTGAATGGCCGGGATAGCCTGGTCGGTAGGGCACTAGGCCCACGTACAAGAGGTCGTGGGTTCGAACCCCGCCGACCGAAGACTCACCGTGTAGTAAATGGTGACTGATGCAAGCTAAATCTGTCGAGTCACAAAGTCATCGATGTTCTCATTACAAATCATACCTCTGGGGTATCGATTCAGGAGTTTTCACGTCTTCTGGAATAGTTCAAAATTACAAGGCTACGGAGTTGAACATTAGTAGTCGTAAACCCGAAAGTGGGTCGACTGTTCTACGACGGTTACAAAATAAAATAAAAAATCAATAATTTAATCATCATCAATATCGGATCGAAAATGGATAAAAAAAATAGTGCGGAAGAAGTTAAACTCCCTCCGCGCGGAGGAAGTTAAACTTCGCAACCTGCGACGTTAATTGTAGAAGAATCAGCAGTCGTAGAAGGATCACAAGTTCTATTCAACGACTCTTTTTCCTGCTCCGCACGCTTCCGTGCTCTGTAATCACGGTAATATTGTGCATTTTTCCCTCGTGGACCTCTTGAACCAGTGGAAGTGCTTGTGGTTGCCTCANTAGATTCTAAAACATAATCCATTATATCAGCTTTGTGGTCAGGGTCATCCGGAATCAGTATCAAGCAGCCATCACTGAGAATCAAACCTGGGTCTCCTCATTGGGAGGCAAGCGCTTTATCCTCCACAGCGGCTAGAATTCCACAGAACAGACCTAGCCTGATTGGTACAGTGTTGGACTCGCGTTCGGGAGAACTCGAGTTCAGTTCCATAGGGCCGAAGAATCCCCTTGCAGTAAATAGTGACTGATGCACGCTAAATCTGTCGAGTCACAAAGTCATCGATGTTCCCATTACAAATCATACCTCTGGGGTATTGATTCAAGAGTTTCCTCGTCTTCTGGATTAGTTCAAAATTACAAGGCTACGGAGTTGAACATTAGTAGTCGTAAACCCGAAAGTGGGTCGACTGTTCTACGACGGTTACAAAATAAAATGAAAAATCAATAATTTATTCACCATCGTCAATACCGGATCGAAAATGGATCAAAAAAATAGTGCGTGGAGTCCCTCCGAAGCGGAAGAAGTTAAACTTCGCAACCTGCGACGTTAATTGTAGAAGAATCAGCAGTCGTAGAAGGATCACTAGTTCTATTCAACGACTCTTTTTCCTGCTCCGCTCGCTTCCGTTCCACTCTGTAATCACGGTAATATTGTGCATTTTTCCCTCGTGGACCTCTTGAACCAGTGGAAGTGCTTGTGATTGCCCCATCGTCTCGCCCTGGAAAATGTATTTGTATTAATAATGTATGTGAATGCGTCATAATGTAATTTCAGAAGAGAAAACCTAACAGTCAATTGATATTCACAATGACATAACCTTAAATCAGTCGCATTGTCCGTGGGATTGCTTTCACTCATTTTTTACAATTGTTATCCACTAAATTTTAAAATAAAAAATACTACCGTATTAAATTATATGCGTATCAAAACAAACTAAAAAAATATTTATGGAAAAACAATACTTTTATGACTTTTGTTATTTTTATGCTAGTGAGAACCAAAACAATATGGAAATGAATGAGGGAAAACTGGATCCTACCACGTGATTTCCCGGCCAATAAAAATGTAGCGTTAAACGTTTAACGCAACCTAGTTGGAAGTCGCATAAGAAGTATAACTTCAAAAAATGAATTGGGTTTTAAGACTAACAAATATTTAATGCGCCGAAACGACATTACTTTCCGGTCCCCCTAATACATTCCAGTAGATTTAATACTAATCCATTGACTTACACAACCGGATCGCAGCTTAATGTGAAACTATTTGCTTCTAAGTGTTCACCAATTTTTAACTGCTACTATTTTTTAAGCAACAAACAAATCGAGATTTAGAATGCACTAACGGAGATCACAGTTGCTATCGTGTTGCCTTTTCTGAAAAGTGTTAGTAAGTCAATGGGTTAAATAAAGTCTATTACAACTGACTTTTGTTCAAAAAGATAACAATTGATAACTCTGCCGAGAGTGTCTGCACCTTGGCAATGAAAAAAAATTGATAGGATAGCGATTTCATTTTTATATTTTTTTCAAAAAAAAGAAAAAATTTGGAGCAGTATGAGAAAACGGAACCTGGAGAATTCGTTACAGCCATTAATTAAAATTTATTAAAATTAATATATTTTTTTCATAAATTCATTTTAATAAAATTAATATATTTATTAAAATTAATATAGGTTTTAATATATTTATTAAAATTAATATATTATTTTTAATATATTCATTTTTATATTTTTTTTCAAAAAAAAGAAAAAATTTGGAGCAGTATGAGAAAACGGAACCTGGAGAATCCGTTACAGCCATTAATTAAAATTTATTAAAATTAATATATTTTTTTCATAAATTCATTTTAATAAAATTAATATATTTATTAAAATTAATATAGGTTTTAATATATTTATTAAAATTAATATATTATTTTTAATATATTCATTTTTATATTTTTTTTCAAAAAAAAGAAAAAATTTGGAGCAGTATGAGAAAACGGAACCTGGAGAATTCGTTACAGCCATTAATTAAAATTTATTAAAATTAATATATTTTTTTCATAAATTCATTTTAATAAAATTAATATATTTATTAAAATTAATATATTTTTTAATATATTTATTAAAATTAATATATTATTTTTAATATATTCATTTTTATATTTTTTTTCAAAAAAAAGAAAAAATTTGGAGCAGTATGAGAAAACGGAACCTGGAGAATTCGTTACAGCCATTAATTAAAATTTATTAAAATTAATATATTTTTTTCATAAATTCATTTTAATAAAATTAATATATTTATTAAAATTAATATATTTTTTAATATATTTATTAAAATTAATATATTATTTTTAATATATTCATTTTTATATTTTTTTTCAAAAAAAAGAAAAAATTTGGAGCAGTATGAGAAAACGGAACCTGGAGAATCCGTTACAGCCATTAATTAAAATTTATTAAAATTAATATATTTTTTTCATAAATTCATTTTAATAAAATTAATATATTTATTAAAATTAATATATTTTTTAATATATTTATTAAAATTAATATATTATTTTTAATATATTCATTTTTATATTTTTTTTCAAAAAAAAGAGAAAATTTNGTACGATTTAACATGTTTATTTTGTAGTTGTTTTTCTTATTCGGGATACAAATAGGTATGATCTACTAGCATTAACATGAATTTAGTTAAACTCAATTACAACTTTCAAGATCCGTAGGACCCTTAATCCAAAGATGCATATAAAATACTTGATATGCTTGCTGTACATATTGTTATTAAATGCTAGAGTAAATAGGAAAACATTGGCATACTATTAACTTACAGGGCTGCCAACTATTGCGCTTTTAGCAAAAATATTTAATAGAGTAGTACACAACCAAAAGCTATAACTCTTAGAATTACGGTTAATTTTGCCACTGTTATAAATCCTCACCATGGATATTTATATGAGTTTTTAAATCATTCATATGTCATGGTGTGAAAATGATTTTCAATAAAATTTTGCTTTGCTACCTATAGAAGAAATTTTCCCACAAAGCATAGGCTTAAACTTGTTATTCTACTATCATTAAATATTTTGGCGAGTTAGAATTTCCTAGTTGGCAGCACTGCGAGTTAACTTAATAATTACTGATCTTTGAATTTGATAAAATGTTGATAAGGCTTTTATTTGCAGACTTTTCGGACAGAAAATGAGAGAACCAGAGTCAGAATATATGTTTAATTTAGTTCCTGGGGATTTAGTGGCTTTCAACAATCGAAGGATCTTGCACGGTCGAACCAGTTTTGATCCAAGGAAGGTTTCTCGGTAAGTAAAATTTGTTAACGATTCAGAATTTGTAGAGTAAAAACACATCTGACTTATTTCCAGAAAAACCGTGACGATTACGGTTACGTATAATGATGTTTCAGAGGATTAGTGCCACGCTCTGAGAAACGATCAACGATGATCTTTATTGTCATACGGTAAACGAAAGCCTGAGTCTGAAATAGTTCTAAAATCGCCATTTTGCAATTGTGGCTCATTTAGCCACAGCCTACTTTCAAATTTTGATAACATTAATATTTAATATTTGCCATTCACAAATTGTGTAAAAGAAAGCTTTTTAATGAATAAACAAAAAATACAATTAGCGTAAAAAATTGCCGTTAGAATTCACAATTTAGAAACTCGTAATTGCAAAAAGAGATAATATTTATGCATTTTACCAGGTTTTGATAACGTTTCAGGGAATTTTTTTTTTAAAAAATGTAATTTTTTAAAACAAATTGAGGCTTTTTCTCTTTTGAAAAACTAAAAAAAGCACGTTTTTTAAGGGGGGCATTAAACCTGGCAGCGAACTATACACACAAGAATTGCATGAAATTAATATTTAAGTTGATAATTTAGCTTCTTACTTCTGAGGAAGTTGGGAATAAAAACATCAAGACTTATTTAATTGGCTGCAGAAACTGAAAGGAGTTGAGAGTGGATTATTAAAAAGAAAATCATGTTTCAGCAGAAGCCCGGGGGCTGAGTGGTAGTGCTTCGCGTTCTAGTGCCACAAATCCGGGGTTCGATCCTCAAATCAGGCAAGGTGTCACCCCTTCAATGGGAGAATAAAATGAGTGCCAAGCATGCGTTCGGCCGACCACCCAATCAGAACTTCTGCACGTGCAGGTTGTAAAGTCAAGAAAACTGGGATGAGCACACTAGGCAATACCCCCAAAGGACTTTAATGCTACTGACATTATTTTAGTCCCTGTTTCAGCAGGCAATCAAACTGATTTTAATGGTTTTCATTCCGCCTTTCTCAATAGTATTCTGACAGATTTATCACTTTCATCTCTACTTCGTTTAAACACTATTCTGTGACCTTCAATTTGTCTAGTTTTTCTTAATCATTTTTGACAAGGATGTTAAAAGTATGAATTAATGGTGGTAATTGCACATATTTGTCAAATGTACTTTTTTTTTTATTTAAAATGTTACCTAAATTTTTCCGTTGACCTAAGACTTAAAAGTCATCAGCAGAATCCTAAAGAATGTAATATTTAATTCATGGGTAAAGTTGAACTTTATTGTTTTAAATTTTATTAATAGTTAATATTTTTAAATTTGCAGACATTTGGAAGGATGCTATGGAGATATTGATGAAGTTTTTGTCCAATACAAATCTTTCATGAAGAATTCTGATAAATGAAGCAACTGAATTAAAAAAGGTTTATTTTAATAAAACCGTTTTTGTCCCTTCTGAGTAACGTAATGAAGTTTTATTCTATTGTATTAAGACTTATGTAAATATTGTAAAAAGAATTCCATTGTTTTTTTAAAGTTTTTATGTATTGTATTATTTTAATTAAAATTTTTTCTTTTATCACTGAACATTTTATTTGCATAATTCTCACAGTACAATATAATTTATTATTACATAATACTTCGACAAGAAATTTCTACAAATAAAAGAACTAATAAAATGCATATTCTAATAGTTTATACTAGAAAAATGTTCCCATTTTTAAACACAAACGAGAAACATTTAATTAAAAAAATCAGTATATTTACTTGTTGTTATGCATTACTATTTATTTTGTAATATTGTTACCAAATTTTACTACATCTGTATTTTTTTTAATAAAATTTTTTTCCAGAAGTAGACTAAATCGTAAATTTTAAAATAAATGGAATAGTTCTAAAAAATTTTCTTAACTTAAGAATGAAATAATTTGTCTGTTGTTTTGTTCGCTTGTTTAAATTATTTATATGTAGTGGTAGACAAAATTATTTTTTGTTGAAATTTGTCAAGATACAAATGCATTACCTTTACTAACACTAGCAGGAACATTTTCTCTTACTGAGGTAATTCCTTCTCGATTGACATGAAAACTACTTTTAATTTCATAAACTTGATTTAAAATAATTTAAACCCAAAAAAAATTTATTGATTGAGACAATTATAAATTCAGAAATTGAGACAATTATAAGTTAGAAAAATTAATCGATTTGCATAACTTTCGAATGTGTCACAAAATTTTCTTTTTGTATGCAAAGTGATAAAAAGAGTACGATTTAACATGTTTATTTTGTTTTATGTAATTTGAATACAATTTAAATTGATAAATGAAAGTCCTACCAATTCTAAAATATAATTAGACTTAAAAAAAAAACTAGTTTTTAGTTTCCATTGCGGATACCATTATTATTACTTCTACACTACAAGAAATTTTTTTTTAACGTCAACGAAAGTGTTTGTTACGATTTACGGAAGCAAGATGGTAAATTTCACTGATTAGACACTGACACAGAACAGTAAATTTTAAATTTTTTTTTAATTGTATGCCTGTTAAGGCAGTGGGGGTGCGATTTTTCCTGTTTTTCAGTGGCGCCATCTATGGTCAGGAATTCGACTTATGTCACGCCATTCACACAACCACAACCCGTTTACAGGGCGGGTAACATTCACACACAAAGGAGAAAGGACATAAAACACACACAGAGAGAAAGAAACATCCATGCGTTGCCCGGGATTCGAACCCAGGACCTTTCTGACGCAAGGACAGTTCCCTGCCCCCTACACAGGCCGGTCGGCTTGTAAACTTAAATTAATCAATTATTTTGTAAATTTCTATAAAAAATATTATTTATAGTGGCAGATATAAAATATTTTGTTAATCGTATTCAAAAGACGATTTTTAATATTCGTCATTATTAAACATAAAAAATCGTTTTATAATTGCTTTATATGTTTATGAAGCAAATATAAAACATTTATTTTTAACTGTTTTATATTCGTTGGTAAAAGACGTGAAACAAATGTACAGCAATCAGCGCTCTCATAATCGTAATAATGGTTGAAATTAAGACGGAAAAGAAGAAAAACTGGTACCGAAATCATTTCGTTTATAACTGGTTTTAGTGAACAGGAGTAAAATAAGCTTGAACTTTTCGTACATGAGAATTACGTATCATTTACATTATCTTAGCTTTGAAAAAAACCCTATACTATCCATGTATAACTAATAAAAAAAATCATGGATTTTTCAATTTTTCCTAAAACTAGAAATAATAAATCGATTTTCTTACCAATTTTTGCTTTTTTCCGTCTTTATATCAGTGGCGTACATAAGCTCCCCGGCAAGAATTATAAAAGCGCCCTAATTAAGACTTAACACAATATTTTTATAATTATAATATGATTCAAGGAACACTATGAAGAGACATTCGGGAATGTCGAGGTGTCAAAATTGATTGGATTTTCAAAACTTTGAAAATTCGTAGTAATAAGCACCGAAAAAAGTGATCGAAAGACAACATTGATTTAGATTTGGCTCGTTTAAAAACTTAAATGCGCAATTCAAAATTTCTAATTTTTTTTTTAACTTGCAAAAAAAGGAAGAAAAAAAAGATATTTTTGTTTCTGTTTCAGGTACAGGTGCTACCGCTGGTAGCAGGTTGTGCACCCTTATTTATGTAGTGTATTATTTCTAGACCGTGAGCCTTCAAACCTTGTGCGTGCCCCCCCCCCCCNGTGCCCCCCCCCCCGTTGCGCAGGGATGATATTTACACCATGGCTCGATATGTATTTGCCTTCAGCCCTGTTTTAAAAAGAAAAAACAAAATGCTAAAAATACTAAACAGTTGAAAAGAATGATTTAATAAAAAGTGCAATGCCACTCTTTCAAATGAAACATTAAATCGCTTTTGTAAAATCCAAGTGAAGAAGACGTCAACTTTTATCTGCAGCAAACCTGCCAGAAAAATAGAATTTTAGAATACAATAATAAGGACTTGGAAATAAAATTATTAAAAAAATAAATAAATAAATAATAAAAACGAATATTATGAGAACGAATTACTAGACGAATTACTAGGGTATGAACGAATTACTAGAATACGACGAATTACTAGGATATGAACGAATTACTAGAATACGACGAATTACTAGAATACGAAACGAATTACTAGAATACGAAACGAATTACTAGAATATAGAAAGAAACGTCTTTGACCCGTTATCTGTCAAGGGAATAGAAAAAGACTTTTACATCAAATGCGTTAAATATAATATTTTGCACCGACAGAAAAATGTCTTTCTAAGAACAGTGGTAGCTAAAGCGAAGCGGATATTTCCAGCTATTAGGTACCATCTTTAGTTCTAAAAAAATCGCGATTGAATAATTTTAGTCTGATATAAAGATATTTAAATACAAAATATATTATGTTGGTCACGGATGTTTTACTTTTGCAAAATAAATGTCGAATATGAAATAGTTAAGTAAGTAACCACTCTTCATCTTTTTGGAATAATTACATTTATCCCATAATGAGCCGCGATGGCTCAGGGGATAGAGCGTTCGCCTTCCAATGAGGTGAACCGGGTTCGAATCCCATTCGATACGAATTCCGCATCCGGCTTGCATTGACCACACTGCTGACGAGAAATATCCTTAGTGGTAGACGGATCATGGGTTAGAGTCTCCTTGCCGCCAGGCTAACCGTGGGAGGTTCTCGTGGTCTTCCTCTCCATGTAACGCAAATGCGGGTTATCTCCATCAAAAAAGTCCTCCACGAAGGCAAAATTTCTCCCAATACTTGATTCAGGAGTTCCCTTGTCTTCTGGACCAGGTTCAAAATTACAAGGCTACGGAGTTGAACATTAGTAGTCGTAAATCCATAAAATTGGATCGGCTGTTCAACGACGGTTATAATATGAAATAAAATTTATCTCATAATGGGCACATTGTCACTTTATGGGTTGTAGTTGTTGTTTCGAATGCTACTTGCCAAATACCAGCAAGCCTCTGTTTTAAATACCAAGCAAATTTGAAGCAGAGGGTGCGTTTCTTGTTTTCCAGTGGCGCGATATATGACCAAAAATACGACTTCAGTCACACGCACGTCATAGCCCGTTTATAGGGTGAACCCAGTCATACATTTATCCACAGATCGTGAATTAGATTGTAATTTTGATCTGAACCAGAGAATGATTAATCTCTAATTCAGTACCCTCAGAGATATAGGTGTGTTATGAGCACTTGGAGGACATTGTAATCCTGACAGACTTAACGCGCATCAGTCACCATTTACTACACGGAGAGTCTTCAGCCGGCGGGGATCGAACTCACGACCACTTGAACAAGAGCCCAACGCCCTACCAACCAGGCTTTGGGTTAAAGCTTTATCCATCAAATATTGCAAAATTAATCAATCAAATATCCTTATCAATTAAATATCTTCGTCAGTTAAATATCACGAGTGTGCGGGTATTTAAAAAAAATTTTTTTTCGTTTTTCTACTACTATTTTACTTTATTTTTGTTTCTTGTATTATTTTTGCATTAGTGTAATTTGTGCAATAGTGACGATAATAATTATGATAATAATAATAAAATATTTTTAAACATCATAAAATTATAATGAAATAAATTGACAGTGTGTGTCGAACTTGATTAGCTTCTGAATCTACAAATGCTACGATTTACCTATAATGACGTCAGTTTTACTTTATTTTATAACCATCGTTGAGCAGCGGACCCAATTTTTGTTGTTTGCGACTACCAGTGTTCAACTACGTAACCTTGTAATTTTGAACCCAATCCAGAAGAGAAGGGGACTCCAGAACCAAGTATTGGGAGAAATTTTGCCTTCGTTGAGGACCTTTTGATGGAACTAACCCGCACTTGAGTTACATGGGGAAGAAACCACAACTTCACATGGTTAGCCTGACGGCAAGGGGACTCTAACCCATGAATCGTCTATCGAGATATTTCGCTTCGTCAAAGTTGTCGGTGCAAGCTGGATGCATAATTTGTATCGACAAGCATTGCTGGGATTCGAACCCGGTACACCTCATTGGACGGCAGACGCACTATCCCCTGAGCCGTCGCCATTCAATGACGTCACTTGAAGGTATCCAATCGTCTCGGGTTTAACACCCCCTTTTATTTACCTCTAGGAAATTAATCTTCTATAATGTTTAAATTAATCTTAGCATAGGAATGATTAAGTTATTTGTAATAAAATATTCCTATCTTGCTTGCTGCTGTTTTCTATTATGCTTCCATCAAATGCTAAACTAATGGCTATATTACACGAGAGAAAATATGTGCAACTGCAAGTGTAACTGCAAGTGTAAGTGCAACTGCAAGTGTAACTGCAAGTGTAAGTGCAACTGTAAGTGAAATTTCTCCAAAAATTGCTCGTGTGATATAGAAATCACGGTTGCACGAAATATCTGCAACCGTTCAGGCAATTTCTTTCATGAACCAATCAGATCGTTTGCTTTTATGACGTTTCAATTTTATGTGATGACGTATACAAATGTAAATAAAAATGGCGGCGACTTTGGTGAAGAGGATGATCGGATGAAATTTTTTTA